CACTTTTTTTATCAGACTATCTAGACTCACAACATTAGTTGGAATGCATCATAAACAGCAGAGTAAAGCATTTTATACCATAACTACATCCTTATCCCTGTTTCTCAGGCTTCAATTTCACATGATATACTAATATAGAGTGATAACTCCAATCAAGCATCTGCTTAGTAACTGTTTCCAACTTTCATTTACTAAATGTGCCTCAAACTTAAAATAGGCACAAGAGGTGAATGTGGCTGAGCAGCAGGCACAGCATGTAAGACCCAGGAAAATAAAGCATGTCCAGAGGAGGGTTACAAGCATGCTGATAGCAATGGAAATCATGCCATATGAGGATCAGTTGGAGGAATTAGGGTTACTATTCCTGGGGAAGAGAAGAATTAGGGTACATGATAGCTGTCTTCACATATCTGAAGGGCTATCATGTAAAAGAGTAATTAGGCTTGTTCCTCTTAGCCCCAGAGATCAGAAGATAGAGCAATATTGTAGAGAGATAGATTTCAGCTCGATGTAAATAATAACCTAAAATTAACATTTTAAACTAATTTAAATTTAATTAAAATGTGGAAGAGGTAGTATGTAGAAAGGTGAGTTGGGAAATGGTGATCTCACCAGGCCTGGCACATGATAGGTTCTTAATAAATTCCTGTTTACTGACTGACCATCACTAAAGGTCTTTACAGACATGTTGCATGATGAATTGTTGTTGATGCTGCAGAGGAGATTTTTGCTTCAATACAGATTGTAATAAATGACCTCTGAGTTCCCTTCCATATCTAAGATTCTGTGATTCTACACAACAGCACAAAATTCTCAAATTACTTCCATAATAAATTATCATCTGTAAAAGCTCATGTTCCATGGAAGATTAATGGCCCTTCTACCCTTTGCAAGAGAGCTAGGGTATAGTCAGAAGAGGATTTCCAGAGCTTCCAAAGTGGTCAGTGTGGTGTTAGAATATTAGCATCTCCTTTTAGCAAGTCCTAAATGAGGACCAAGAAGCTAATGATCAATATTAGCCCATTTCTTTAGTAACAGTGTTTGACACCTACTTTGTGGCAAGAGATGGTATGTTTGCCCACTTTAAAACCTCTATTCAGCTATAAAAACAAACTGCATATTAAAAGTTTGTACCCCAGTAGGTGAGACAGCCTATAATCATAATCAAAATTCAGTAATTTTGATGGACAGGTAGTATCTCATTAACTGCAGATCTGCTTATCTACTAAGTAGTGTTTAATAAAGACACTTTGGTATGTGTGATAATATGGGATCAGAGAACCTGGAGTCAATGTGAAGAATGGTAAAGGTAACTGCATGATGTTTGAGACATGGATGGCTCATAGTTTCTATTCAGGCAAGCCCAGTGAGCTTGCTCCCAATTAGCTTTAGGATAAGATGAATCTCAATTTTCCCTTCTCTGTTAAAACATGGTCAGATGTGACCAAAAAGAAAATAGAGCAAGACTTTTATAACACCAGGGGTTGAGTTGGATGGCTTCTGAGGTTGCTTCCATCTATACAAACATGAACGTAAGTCAACATTTAAGTTATTAAAAGCATATACTTGATACTTATATCCATTAGGAAGTTGTCATATCTAAAATATTTGATATGAAAGAACTGGTTTAGTGGAGTCAAACATGCAATATGTAAGAAAAACACACAAAGTGTGGTAATCCACAAAATACGAAAAATGTTATTTACAAGATGCCTTTTCCCTCTCCAAAGAAATGAAAGTGATAATAAACATCATATGCAATTTTAAAAATTGGATCTTCTAACTTTGTCAAGGTGTTTGAAAGCAGTGAAGTTTTCACAACTAATTCCTCAGCATTCAATTAACAGTTGATTAAAATACAATTTTTTTTCCTGTGCAACTCAAACCAATGTAATCAACATACCTCTGGAGTTAACAGCTAATTCAATTTGCTCACTGACTTATGCAGACTATAATAAGGATTGCTATAACCTGTGTATGGAAAGTAAACAAAACATAAGTGCCTTTGGAAAACAAAAGACAAAATTAGGATAGTTGTTTGTTCAGTAAATTGTTCCTCCTACACAATAAAGCACTTCAAACTTACTAATTAATGACACCCAAAGATTACAGTGACTGATCCAAATGCTCAATGTTTCTATTTTTATGGGGAAAAAAGTTTAACAGAATAAATATAATTGAGCTAAATAAGTCAATCATAATATTTTGATTGAAGTTTCATCTAGTAAAGTGTTATCTGGTGGTTACATGAAAGACTCACAGCTAGCAATAAAATGCTTATATTTATGGCTTTTGCTTAATATGTACTCTAACAACATGTGAGGTATGAAACCTGTATTATTTTGAGCAAAATTACTATCAGTACATCTCATTTCTCTTTTCCATTATGTAAGTAATATATTCAGGAAACTTGTAGGGTTTATTCTATTGGTGGCTTTTGTAACAATGCCTGCAGATTTCCCCATATACCATCATTCTTAAAATCTTCAAGCTTCTTTCCCTTGTTTACATCTGCCCATTATTCTTTATCCATATTTTCAAGGAGACTTTTTGTTGATAACCTGACAAAAGGCATTAGAAAGATGTCTTTTTGACAGTGCCTCCTTCACAGGCTCTTCATCATTCTTTCCACAGAATATGAAGGTGTCCCCTAGGTTTACACTAGACCTGTTATTTTTTCCCTTAACATCTGTTCTGTAAGTGATTTCATCTACAAAGGCCTTGATTGCCACCTCTGACCTTTCCAGTCTTATATATAACACTTAACCTTTTCATAGTCCTTAATAGTTTTTCAATCTCCCATATTCAACTTCATTGACAATACAATGGTCTTGGATACAGTTTTGTTGCTGCAAATGTAATATTGTAAAGACCACATTTCTATTTTAATTATTATTATAATTTTATATATATATATATATATATATATATATATATATAATATGTAGTTATATTTTAATTGAGCCCTTACTACTGCCCATCTTTAGAATTACTGGAGAAAACACAACCATGACCACAGTTCATCAGGATCAAAAATGTTTTTAATTCCTCTTTCCTTTTCTACCCACATCCAAAAATTTGCAAAATTTTGATACTTCTGTTTAATAGTTTTACTATATGTCTTTTGTAAGAATTCCAAAAAACACATCTTTGATCATGCCATTCTAGATTTAAGAAGCAGTAAGCAGAGATGTTGGTGGGGTACTAGGATATTTATTGTATCTGTTCTGTATGTTTGGTGTGCATTATGTCACCTTAGAATGTAAGTTTATGGAGGGCTAGGAACCATGTTCTACGCATTTTTCATGCAGCACCTAGAAGAAAATGGGTGCTTACTGGAAGAATAAGTAACAACATGAATTATTATGGAATATTTAGCATTGAGACATTGGAATTCATGGTAGGACTTGAATATTGATTAGTCATCAATCTGTTGCATTTTGCATGGCCTGAGTCTCACTTCGAGAAAAGCATAAGATCCCCTAACAAACTGTAACACTCAGAGTCAATTTAGCTTATATTCTCAGTCCTTCACATTGAGTTTATAATAGCAGAACCTCTGTGTAGAGTAGGAGAGGTAACAGAGTGTAGTGAAGAGACTATAGAACTTAGAAGCAAGGAAAACCTGGGCTCAAATCCTGCTTCTAATACCACCTGAATGATCTTGGGCAAATCACAACCATTCAATGCCAAAGGAAAATCCCTACAACTAAGCTATTAATTATGGAGAGTTTGTAGATCTGTGCTCATAGAGGAAGTCCTACACAAAGGAGTCCCATTTTGATGAAATCATAGATCCTTTGTGTATCTGTGAATATGTACATGTTGTCCCAAAAGTCTTAGTGCAGTTTAAAGTTACTAAAGCTATCACAACAGCGCTAAGACTTTGGGACATCCTCTAGTACAAAATGATATACCAGGTAGATAGATGTTTCATATGTTAACTCCTCTATCACATGAAACATATTTTCCCCCAGAAATGCCTTAAATGGATTGGAGATTTCTCTGACCTACCTCTGTTGAGGTCTTATCAGATACTTTAGGAAAACTGCTCCATTTGATAAGAGATTTTCCATCTCCCTTACGTACAGTATGTATATTCTTCTCTCACATGTGGATTAGGTAGTCAGCTCAATAACACTTACAAATATCCTTTTCATAATGCCATTAATATAGTATTAACACATTCAGGGACTATGATATGGTTTCAAAGTAAGCAAAATACAGTACATACTTTTTTTGCTCAGAATGGATCTTCCCCCAAAAGGTATAATTTTCACAAAAACTCCAGGGTTCGGCCTCAATGATGGCAATTCATAGATTTCTTTTATTAACCAGCAGATCCACGTAAGTGCCACATTCTTGTCTTTTTGTGGAAGATGTGGGGAGCAAGGTAACTGATGGCTTTTTTCTACTAAAGAAGAGTTAGGCTAAACAATGGGAGATTTTAGGGGCAAAGAAAGAGGTTGAAGGACCAAGAATCTCAAAAGCCACAGGAGGAAGAAAATCTCAGAGCAGCTAGTACACAGGGTGTTGTTGCTTCATTTCCCCATACTAAACAGAGGCAGATGTTTTCATTCATTGTCCTTTGCATTTGCCCATAATGTTTTGACGAACTCTCCCTCGTCAGTCACATTCTCTCTGTAGTTAACCATCCTTTTGCTAGTCTGTAATTCATCACTCATTTTACAGCATGCTTTATGAAAGCCTTCTCACTTGTCCATCTTGTTTTTCTAGGCTACAAATTATGTGCTGGCCAAGTATAGTTACAAATAACCTTCGCAAGACTGGCACTGGCAAGTGAGGAAAATGTATCTCTCTCTCTCTCTCTCTCTCTCTCTCTCTCTCTCTCTCTCTCTCTCTCTCTCTCTCTCTCTCTCTCTCTCTCTCTCTCTCTCCTCTCTCTCTCTCTCCCTCCCTCTCCCCTCTCTTTTTTCTTGGAAATGCTGTAATTTATACATGGCTAAATTCCCCCAGTCTGTTCATTAGTGTCTCTCCCCATAAGGAGTACTTCCAACCACTACATAGAGGACAGCTGAGCAAAGTCAATTGCAGTTTAATCTGCATTTAACATCAGTGGGAAAGATTTCAAGGCAGCTTGCAAAGGTGCTGAACAGACACCTGGAGAGTGCCAGGTCTCACCAGAGACATCCTGAGCAACCCAATGTAAGTGAACTGATGAAGGGGAGACATAATTTCTTGTTGGGGATGGGGCTGGAGAGGGGAGAAATGACCATGTTTTCAGGCAATTAGCTTTCCCCGAGCTTTTAGGTTCTGGTAGCCTTCTGTAGGGTCCTTCTGCATCAGTCTTACTATTTTAAGCTTGATTTCTGATTTAGAACCATACATAGATCCCACTTCTGCCCCATTACCTGTATGACCTCTGGCAAGTCCCTTAACCTGCTTATACCTCAACTTCCTTATCTGTAAGATGTGTGTGTAGCAGTGGGGGTGGGGAGGTTGAGCTAGCTGACCTGGATGGAGATCCCTTCTGGCCCTCAATCTATGATTCCACAACTCCTAGGCTCTCCCTTGCCAACTCCCATCCTCCCCAGGCTGGTCAATTTTGTAGTCTGTCAATAGGGAGTAGTTCTTACTCTACTGCCCTTTTGGCCTTTGGGGGATGGGGATTGTAGGTAGTGCCACGGGACAGCAGCTGTAGGTCTGAGGGGCAGCAACTTTAACAGGTGGTGATCTGATGCGAAATTCTTAGAAATCTCACCCTTCAGAAAGCATAATAATGCTTGCAACTCTTCAAATACCACCATTTGGGAGGCACAAACACCATCACATTTAAGGTATGTCCCACAAATATTATTATCCCCATTTTACAGCTAAAGAAACTAAGACTCAGATTATGAAACTTGTGAAGGATCACACAGCAAGTGAATATCAGAGACTGACTTTGAACCCAGGTCCCAAGTCCAAGCCCTGTCCTCTTAACACTGCTTCTCATAAACATACACAAAGCATCATCTAAGTCAGGATGTAAAATAATATGGCCAAAGGAATTTCCACAAGGAAATTAGATCTATTAAAGACTGTTGATTAAAGGATTATTTGACTGATGAATATACTGCCATCAACACTTTGCTTATAGCCCTTAAAGCTCACTGAAGCTCTTCAAAATCCCTTTTCTTCTGTTTTTCAGCAATGTGGTCTCTCTGGGGGATACCAAAACCTTCCGGCCTCCTGAGCCAGGCAGCCTACATTAAAAATTAGATTTATTTCTTCTAAATTGAAAAAAGGCAGCCTCAGACCAAAAAAAAAAAGGAAAAAGAAAAAAAAAGCGAGGGCAAACATACCAAATACAAAATATATCAGCGTACTGTTAATTGTTTCAGACAGCCCATCCAAATACTGCTGAAATACATGAGGATTTTCTCAGTTGACTAGATTTTTATCCTGTCCCCATTCTCCTTCAAGAATCTCTCCTAGCATGAGAGAATGCAGATTTTACTGATGATGGTTTATCTGTTTTCAGCTCCAGGTTTTTATCAAAGTAGTGTATTCTCACATAGTCAGTTCATACAAGGAGTTCAATGGACTGGAGAAGTTTATTATAATAGTCTGATTATTAAATGGATTAAAAGAATCTGCAGGTCAATCCTATCCCCTCAAATTCAATTCACTAAACATTTATTAGGTCCTATGCACTGTGCTCAGCACTGGAGATAGAAAGACAAAAATGAAAATGAAGCCCTGCCTCAGGGAGGTTCCATTCTCTTGGGGACTAGCACATGTAAATAGGAAAGTATATATGATAATTTGGGGAGAGAGAGAATACTAACAGCTAGAGTAATGAGGAGGGCACACCCAAGCTGAGGCTTTAAGGAAGTTAAAGATTTGGAGAGGCAAAGGTGAGGCAAGCAGGAGGCAGTGGGTGATGGAACAATGAATGCAAGTGAGGGATAGCAGCTATACCAGTTGGGTGGCACATAGAGTGCATTGTGGGGAATGATGTGGTGTGTCTGGAAAGGAAGGATGTGACCAGATTGAGAAGGACCCCTTCTCTTGGTTAATCAGAGCCACAACCATACTTATATGAGTGAGGGCCCTTGTGTCTTTACCATGCCCTTCCTCCTTGGGCACACTTATTAAATCTATGCTATCTGGGGCAGCTAGGTGGCGCAGTAGATAGAGCACCAGCCCTGAAGTCAGGAGGACCTGAGTTCAAATCCGGCCTCAGACCAAACACTTGATACTTACTTGATACTAAGTGACCCTGGGCAAGTCACTTAACCCCAATTGCCTAAAAGGCAAAAACAAAAAATCTATGCTAGTTACATCAAAAGCACAAATCACCTCTCCAGCTACAAGTTTTACACTTGCAAAAACTATCCCAACTGTATCAAAATTAAAAATCTCTATATTTGGTTTACTTTCACCCATGTCAAGATAGGATAACATAGAGGATGGTGAACTGGCCCAGAAGCCAAGAAGACCAAGGTTTAAGTTCCCTTCTGATACACAGATGAGTTAATGCTCTTAGCAATTCTTTAATATCAAAGGATGCAGATCTGCATTGGTAGAGGGAATTTGCACAAGTGGGAGTTCCCTTTAATCAACAAGATCATAAGTCAGGTGCCTGTCTATCTCTCTCAGGCATATTACACATTATCTACAACTGTTATGTAAGGATGAACGGCATCTTTTTAGAAGTTTCTACATCTTAAATGGCCCACTGAATTAACCTTGGACCTTCTTCAGTCCTTTCTCTTGCATAGTTTTTATCAATCTCAGGGCTTAAGTTTGTCATGTTTAGGCAGCAAAATTTAACAGAAAGAACCAAAAACCTGCCACAATATGGCCAGGACATCAGATAGGTGTTCCTTCTTCCTCCTATTTAATGTTAATATTATAAAGGGTTCGGCTAGATTTAATGTGTTTCTTCCTGTCATCATCATGTTCTCTAATATTTAGAACCTTTAGTAAGTGTGAAAACATTGTCTTGAAAACAGTCACAAGGCACTATTCATATTAGTATGAGTCTTTTAATGGAAATTTCCTCCTTTATCTAAGCAAACTTCTGACTTAAATACCAAAAGCTTTCATTGGTAGTTGATTCTATTGGCCTTGTGATAGTATCACAAACTCAAGGAAATGTGATTTGAAAAGGAAATATTAAAATTAAGCTAATGGTAAAAACAGGTAACGAGTGTTGTTATCAGCCAGCCTGTGGAGCCATTTAGCAGAGAAACCAACCTTTTTTTTTTTTTTTTTAAGTCTTTACATGTCCCATGAGATCTGCTGGGCAGATTTTGGTTCTCAAGTTAGCTCAATTCTCCTTTTTCCATTGCAGGTCACCTTTACCATAAATGAGGCACTGTGATAATCTCCCTGAAACTCTTTCCAGGTAATCTGATTTTTGTTCTCCTCATCAGCATGGTTTCCATGATGCCAGTTTAAGCTTTTATTCTCAGCATCCCAACATCTTCACTTTTAACCCTTCTGTTGCAGAACTCAGCTGCAACATCCACACAATGGGACTTTGGCAGCATTCCGCAACTGTTGGCATTTCTGGGCTGTCTGGCCTCATCAGAGAGGTCAAAACTTAGCCAATGATACGACCCTGGCCATCTAATGGGCTCCATGCACTGAAGTACACAAGGAGAAAGTCTCTGTTAGTTTGAAGACCCTCATGTCATGTGGTCTTTGTATTTATTATGGTACAAAATAAAGAATCCTGTGGAATTTTCCTCTAATTTTGCGAACAGTAATTTATACATTATATGTACATATTATGTACATATATATTACCTTACCACCATTTATGCACTATCCAAAAAAATATAGTTTTATACATCAGTATTGACTCTATGAATTTCTAATGCATTATTTTTTCAAATGATGGTTATCAGGACCCATCACATATTTCAGAGCTATGGAATTCCCAGTGATTTGTTTAGCTCAGCTTCCTCTTCTGTCAATGCTGTTCCATTTGGTACTCCTGCTGCATTTCATCTAGTCCTGTTACCATCTTACTCTCCCCTCTCTCTCCTTCCTGTTAATTACCTTGCCTTCAGTCTACCTTCTCAGGCATCACCTCTCATGCCCCTCTCCTAGTTCCAACCTCCGAAGTCAGTTACCAGGTAGTGTAATGACTGCTCATTACCATGTTGACAAAAGTAGAGGTTGCTCTACTGAAGTCTTATGCCAATGTCTTGTTGCGGTACAGAGGTGACTCGGCATTGTTTAGTAAGAAGCACAAGCTCTGGCAGGTCCTGCTGAGCCAGAGGGTCTTTCAGCATGGATTCAGTGAAAGCTTATACATCTGTAGTGTGACAACCAGCCTAAAAAGCTGAGAAAGGCTCATCAATGGAAGGTTGACTTTGGTTGATTAATGCGTGCACCTGTAGCAAAACACAGACACCACCAATCACTCGGCACACACCTGGACTATAGTGCCGACTGTACTCCAGGTACCATCTACTAAGTTATAGAGGGAGTGCCACACAGATTAAATCATGAATCAGAGATTGAAAGGCAGCAGGGACCATAAAGATCATCTAGTCACTTTGTAGACGAGAAAACTGAAAACCAGAGAGGTTATGGGCCTTGTCTAAGGTCACACAGATAGTTAAATGTCAGAGACTGGATTGGAATCCAGAGTTTCCTGACTCCAAAGTCTATATACTATACTATGGATACTTTCTGGGGGGAAAAATGAATTCTTCAAGATGTAATTATAAAACAAAAGAACTTTAAAAAACTTTTTTACTTTTGTTTTATGTTTTACTGATACTTAAACATGATATGTTGTATTTCCAACTTATTTAGGATGTCTCTGCCTCATGCCATAAAGCAATTTTAAATTCACCAGAAAAACTATAGAGAAGTTTTTTAAGTACCTTATTTATTGGCTTTTAAAAATAATGACAATACCAAATTGAAGTACAATTTTCTTCCATCTTTTTAGAACTAAAATGCTAAACTACTGGGCTTACCTGTAATAATAAGCAATTTTGATTCTTGTCAACTGAACAGTCAAGTGAACTGAAAACTCCACAAGAACTACAAAAAAAAAAAGCAAACAAACAACTAAATCCAATCAAATGGAAAAGGAAAGGAATCAATAGAGAAAGACATGGTTGCTCAGATTTCTGGAAGGGCCCAGAAAGAAAAAGGAAGCAACGTAATCATTCTTCTATACATATACACACACATATACATGCATACATAAATACACATACAGACCCACATACATAAACACTTTATAACATACACGTGCATATACACACTATAAACACATGCATATACAAACACATCATATGCACATATACATACACAATACACACATATACACATACATCTACATATATAACTACACACACTTACACACATACATAGCACCTTTAGTCTTAGATGGCTGGAGGCAAGGAAGGAGTATAAACAAAAGGTATGGTATGCTTTCCAAATAAAAGCAATCAGTTCATGCTAATCTACAATATCTTTCTTTTTCTGGTATTTTAATTTGAGGAGAAAAAGGGATTTTTAAGCAACAGGATAGGATGGTAGAGAGTTATTTTGTTCCCATTAGCACACAGCTGCTTATGATTTTGCTTACATGTTTGAATACTATTCTTGGAAAAGGCAATAGCCTTCAATATGTACCAGATGTAAGCAAGTGTTTATTCCAGTAAAATTCTTGCTTCATTGAGTCAAAAGTTCATTAAATAAACAGGCCCAATATATAAGCAGAACTACTTTTACTGTTGGAAATGAGAGAATTCATTGGAATCAGTGATGACCATTAATTATCCCATTAGTTATAGTATTTAACTGTAGGGAGGAGTGGTACCCACTCAATTGCTATAATTTTATATTTAATTATGCCTTGTTCCAGGAAATCTGAAACATGATTGCAATCATGAACTCCAACTTAGTGAAATACCTACAAATTTCACATTAATCAACTTTTCTGATGGTACAGGAAGTTAATAATTTACCATGTATGTAGCATTCTAAAAGACTATAAAGTTAGACTATAAAGTTTTCTTTTTCACAACAACTCTGTGAGAAAGATAGTGTAAATGTTATATTTCATTACTTATATGGATCCATCATATCCTCATTCCTTCTAGTGGTACAGATGTCAACTCATCCATGCTGTCTTATCTTGCGTAATTCTAATCCATGCCTTTTCCTAGCTCTTCTGTAGAGGACCTGTCCAAAGCACTGGAGTCTTTTAATATTCTTTAGGTAGCAATTAACCCCTCGGGCCATCCATTAGTGTAGGGCAGATTCAACCTGTTTTATAGATGAGGAAACTGAAGCTCTGAAAAGTCAAATGACTTGTTCTAAAAGAGACAGAGCCTGGGCCTGTGTCCAGGTCTTCTGAGTCCAAGTCTAAGGCTTATTTTTTTTTTTGGCTTTTTGGTGAGGCAATCGGGGTTAAGTGACATGTCCAGGGTCACACAGCTAGTAAGTGTCATGTTCTGAGACCGAATTTGAACTCAGGTCCTCCTGACTCCAAGGCTAGAGCTCTATCCACTGCGCCACCTAGCTGCCCCATAAGGCTTACTTTTAATCTCTGGAAAAGGAATCAAGTATAACATAAGTTGAAATTTAGTGGTCTTGATATAGTCCCTAGGTGACCTGACAAAATGTATCATATCACTGTATCAGTTCATTCCTGGGTTACTGCCATGGTGTCCTAGTCCCCAATTCTCATTTACTCTATCCACCATCAGGCTCTGTCCTAAAACACTATCACCGCATCTCTTGGCAAAACACTTTTCTTAGCCCTTTACTAACAACAGGATAAAATCTTGACTCTAAACCAATAGACCTAGCATTCAAGGCTATTCATGATCTACAACCATCATTCGAATTTTATTTCATCTTGCGCACTCTCCCTTCAGTTAACCTGGCTACTTCACTGCTTTCCACTTCATACCTTCTATATTTTTCCTTCTGTGCCTTTACTCACAGCATTCCCTATATCCAGATTGTCTTCCTCATTCCTCTCTGCCTATACAAACACATCAACTCAAGTCTCATCTTCTTTGTGATACTTTCCTCAGTCCACGGCACTCTACCCCCTCCTTAGGGCTCCTAGAACACATATTGCCTACACTGCTCATTTAGCATTGCAATATTACTATACACGATTTGCTATTTTGATTTATTTTTTCTAACAACAAGATTGCAAGCTCTTTGGCGCACTGGCCGAAGCATTTGTTTGAATCTTATTTCTGTCATTAATTTTATGACTATCTCAATAACACATGGCATCTCAGAACTTTGGAAATGGAAGAGACCTTAGTGACACACACCCCCATACCTGAAAAGGGTCCAACCGATACCTGAGAAAGAATTCCCTTTTGAACATACCAGACAAGTACTGGATCATCCAGCCTTTGTTTAAAGACCTCCAGTGAAGATAATCCACTACCTCCAGAGGCAGCCTAATCCACTTTGGGATAGATCTAAGTGTTAAGAAATTTTTCCTAACAATTTCCTAACAAATTTAAATTTGTCACTTTACAACTTTTATCCATTTCTCATCATAGCTCTTTCTGGGAAAGTCACTCGATTCTGAGCCTTAGTTTCCCTATATGTAAAATAGGGGTAAAAATTCCTAGACAGTACCTGCCTTACAGGGCCATTATGTAGAAGGCATTTGGTAAACCTTAAAGCATCCTGTAAATAGAAGCTTATCAGCTCATGGCATCAAAGAGACCTGGAAGGCATGTTGATCTTCAAGTCATTAGTGAGAGGAAGGAGCACAATACTTTTTTTGCTTCTCTGATAGCACCACAGGGCCTTACACAGAGTAAAATTTCAATAAATATTTGTAGATCATTGGATACTTTATTCATCAAGAGCAGGACACATCAAAAAAAGGTGGGAGGTTCTGAAAGTCAAGCAGAGTGGTTAGAAGTAAATTATGCAATATCTTTACAAAATACAATGATTCTCATTCTCATAGTTACAAAATATGTTTTTAAAAATCAGACAAATGAATATATACTAGCCTTTCCCAAATATTATAATGCTTTAGTTATTTTAAGGGTATCATTCATCCATTATTCTTCACTATCTTAATTTTTAAAAATAAACTTGTAATTATTCTTTATATAGCCACAATGAATGACATTGATCCTATGCCCTAAAGTTCATGTACTTAGTCATAGAATCCATCATACCTTCACTTAGAGCTTGTTTACTCATTTTGAGATATAATTGTAATAAATTGTAAGTGTGTAATTATAACAAATAAATAAATAATATATATAAGATATAAAAAAATAAATAAATATTGTAATAAATAAATAAAACTGTGTGAGACAGTTTTTCCAGGTGACAGGAGACTAAATATTGAAAATTGGTGGGGGGTGGGGGGGTTAGGGGAGAATTGCTGGTGGCAGAGGCACTGACAACAGTGAAAAGAGAGAGCTCATGTCTTAATAACAATAATAATAATAAATAACTTGTGTATAACACTTACTATGTGCCAAGCACTATACTAAATGCTTTATAATTATCATGTCATTTGGTCCTCCCAACAACCCTGGGAGGTAGGTGCTATAATTATCCCCAATTTACAAATGAGGAAACTGAGGCAAATGGCAATTAAGTGACTTGCCCACGGTCACACAGGTAGCAAGTGTCTGAGACCAGATTTGAACTCAGGTCTTTCTGACTCCAGGCCCAGCAGTCTATCCATTGAGCCACCTAGCTACCTTGAAGCAA